ATTTGTTAATTTAGGAATTTATCCAAAATAAATTATCAAGAATCTTAAATATAGGGATGTTCATTGATGCATAATAATGGAAAGCTAGAAATTGTCTAAATTTCTGACAGGAAAATAATTATTTTATTGGTACTCATTATAATCTATTAGAAAAGCAGTCATAAAAATATACAGGGCTGGGGCTGGGGAGATGGCTCAGTGAAATAAGCGCTTCCCTAGCAAGCGCAAGGGTCTGAGTTCAATCCCCGGTTCCGCCAAAAAAAAAAAAAAAAAAATACAGGGCTGGGGATATAGTTCAGTAGTAGAGCACTTGACTGCCATGTACAAGGCCCTGAGTTTAATCTCTAATAGTGTGTGCACACACATAGAAAAAAAGAGACATTGAAATTTTTGGAATTAATTTATTTTTCATTTTATTTGCTGTACTGGGCTTTGAATACAGGGCCTTTACACTGAGCTATATCCAAGCCCTTTCTAATTTTTATTTTGAGATAGGGTCTAAGTCTCATGTTGCCCAGGATGGCCTCAAACAAAATTCTTCTGCCTTAGCTGCTCAGAGTGCTGGGATAATAGGCATGTACCACCACACCTTTCACTGTTCAGGTCAGGCTGGCCTTCACCTTACTTTGTAGCTCAGGCTGGCCTTGATCTCACTGATACTCCTTCTTAGCCTTCCGAGTGCTGGGATTACAGATGCGCACCACCATGTCCAGCCTCTTATGATATCTCTCTCTCCCTCTCTCCCTCCCTCCCTCCCTCCCTCCCTCCCCTCCCCCTCTCCCCTTTCTTGGTACTAGGGATCTAACTTAGGACCTTGTGCTTGCCAGGTAGGCACTTATGCTACTCAGCTATATCCTGGGCCTTTTAGATTTCATTTTTATAAAGGAAAATCACATACATAAAATAGTTGGCAGCTTCTTTATATCAGAATATTAAAAGTGGACATTTTAGTGATGGCATTATGAACAATTTTTATTTTAGCTTTTTGGTTTCCCAAATTTTTTTAGGTCAGACTTTTTAAAATGTTATTATAACAATGTTCTTTTCATTTTTCTTAAGAATGAAATGATTCGTTGTAGGTTCTCTTTCTGACATTGTGTCTGACCCCCAGGCTTTCTCCACCCCTCCGAATTGGCCTACCCTCTGCACTGGCCAGCCCTGCTAAAGAAAGACCAGAGCCTTCCTGCTTAGGACTCTGACATCTGCCAGCCTGCTGTTTTACCTTCAGTGTAGCTTGTTGTAAATGAGCCTGCTGAACATTAAAGCACTTGGCAGAAACCACCCGAAACTCTGGCCAAGATCCTTTCACTGCTGCCTTTCTCTGAGAAGCAGAGAAGTGAGCAAAGCTGGGTGCTGCTCGTGGGACAGGAGCAGTGAGGGCTCCTGCCAGACCCAGCAGCAGGCAGTGGATTCCTGAGCCAGGCCCCTGGAGGGATGTGTGCAGACCTGCCCTGGAGCTGCACTCTGTCACTGCCATCCCACTTCTGGCCCAGCTTAGCAAATGTGACTGTGATAACAATAGTGATGTTGGTGATAATGTTAACTTTTATGAGGTAGCACAGAAAAAGTGGAAAGGGCTCTTGTTCTGGATTCAGACACTCCTGGAGTCAAATCCTAGCACTTCTACTCATAAGCTGTGATAGTAGTGAGTGCCTTCCCTCTTTTGAGTCTCTGCTTACCTGTGAAGTAGGACCAGCTGTGCCTGTCCTGTAGGATTGATGACATAGCACACTTAGAAATTGATTAGTCTTAGATGATTTTTCACTGGTCTTAGATAATTTTCAGCCTATTTATCCATCCCACTCATTTCCTAACTTTGACTTTAAAGGCTGTGACACTGACTCTTTCACTGACTCTGTTACACCCCAGCTGAAGTGAGGAAAGACTAGACCAGTGCTGTGGCCCCAAAGCGAGTGGGAGTACCAAACCAGCCAGAAGAGGTGGGTGAGCTCCTGGCTCAGCCATGTGATCTTGTGCAGAGCAGTTAATGTTCTGTACCTTGGTTTACTTCTTTATAAACTGGGGATCGCTGATAGATATACCTTGTGCTTTATAGAGGTTATGTGAAGTGGTTCGATTTAAATAAAGTAGCAGAGACAAATACTTATGTAGAGAATAGACTATTACACAACAGGCAGATGGAAAAATGTTGATGATATGTTAAGAGATACCAGTATTTCATATGTTGTAAGAATTAAATACAGTCATACATGTAAAAGTGTTAGCTCAGTATTTTTTTAATGTATGTTTAGTACAGGGTCTACAGCCTCTCACTCCACAGATTGGACTCATAGTGATCCTCCTGTTTTCAGCCTCCAAAATGCTGGGATTACAGGCGTGCGCCACCACGTCCAGTCTCGGTGTGCCATGTGGGTGGGGCCGGCACGGCATGCCCGGGAATGAACCCAGGTCCCTGCATGTTAGCTCAGTATTTAAATGTAGTAAGTACCTACTTAGGAAGTGGGAGTTTTTCTTGCTGTTAATCATTAGTATTGTCAGAAGTATGATGAAGATGAAAAGATGAAACTCCAGATAGACTGTCCCCAAAGATACTTTCTGCCTATCACATGGTAAAAACTTAGTAAATATTTTCATTGATTGATTTGAAAAGAAGTCATGAAGTGATGGTAAAAGTCATAGTGACACACCCAGCACTTCATTAGCAAATAAGGATTTTAAAATGTGCTTGTTGGGACAAGTGAGGTAACTCAGCGGACTAAAGAGCCTGCTTAGGCAAGCTTAGGCAAGCGCAGGGACTATGGTTCGATCCTGGTACCACATGCTGTGCCAACCCTGCATCCAGGGTGGGCTGAGCTAGCCAGGGTCTGGGCATAGTGGTACGTGCCTGTAATCCTAGCACAGGGGAGGCTGAAAACAGGAGGATCACTACAAGTCCAAGCTGTGTAGTGATATCCTGCAACAACCAAATACATTTAAAAGTAAATAAATAAAACATGCTTGGTCACCTTTTTTTTTTTTTTACTCTGTCCCAGGGATTGAACTCAGGACCTTATGCTTGCCAGGTAGGCGCATATTCTATTGAGCTATCTCCCAGGCCCAGTCAGTTTTGTTTTAACTCTCACTACTACTCTGACCAATGGATGAACATCTTCCTTTGATAGATGAGGAAACAGACTCAGAGCAGGAAAGTGACTCTCACATTGCCGCCCCACATTTTCACATTCCTACCATGGACATTCTGCCTCCTCTCCCTCCATCCCTGTGCCAAGACTACCCTCGGTGGTGCTCCTGCCTCTCTGCTGACAGCCAGCAGGCACTGGAGTGCTGCTAGGCTCTGTGCCTTACCAGGATGGGGACAGAAGCTCTTGAGGGTTTGTGCCCGGCTCAGTGAAGAGAGATCATGTTGCCACTCTTGAGTCCAGCTCTTCTCCCAGAGAGTCTGGCAGCCCTAGGCACTTCGCTTTTCCAGCTGAAAGATGTGCGGCAGGAGCCTGGCCGCCTTCCTGCCTGGGACCAGTTGTTGCACGTTGCTTTTAGTTTCTGGCCTTCTGCTGCCTTTAGTTCCTGATTCCTGGCCAAGGCTTGTAGTTGGCAAATAAAGAGGTCAAGCAGCTGGCGCCATGCTGCCCTCCTATAAGCATCCTACACTTCCTTCAGTCCCGTTGAGATTAGGAGGGAGGCTCAGCACCTACCAGATTATATTGCTTCGTGTCACACTCTTTGAGGGTGGATGTGCTTACTGCAGAAAATTTGAAAATGTTAAGAAACTCAGAAAACATTGAAAATTATTCACTTAGTAAATATTTCCTTAAAACTTGAATTGTGCTAGATCCTAGGTGAGATGTGACAGATACCGACAATACTAATATATTTCCTGTCTTCCCATCACTTAGTTAACCATTGGTAGTATTTTGCCAGATTTCCTTCCACTTTATAAAAAGTATACAACTTTTTGTTTACTTTGTAGATCTTATCTCTTATAGATGTACAGAATTTTGAATCCTGATTCTGAAGGATAACATGAGTCTGTCTCCATAGTGTTAGAAGTATCCTGAAACATTATTGAAACAAATGCTTCTTTTCTGATTACAGATGTAACACATGCATGTTATAAAGCATTTAAATATTTTAGGAATAGGTACTGGAATGTTACTCAGGTGTACATCCTCTCCCTATCTTAACCATTTATAATGACTATGTATTCAGCTGCTTCTATTCTGTAACCTGAGGTTTTCTGATTTTTCATTGTTAAAAATAAAGCTAGGATAAATATATTTGCATATAGAACTTAACATTTTCAGATCTTGTTCATGTGATAATTTTTCAGTTGAGAAGTTTTGGGGGTAGATGGTATGAACATTTGCATCAGTTTGAATTCCTATCAATGATATATGAGCTTATCCATTTCACTGTAGCTTGCTGGCATTGAATATTGTAATTAAAAACCACAATATCAAATTTTGCTGTGATAGCTGAACTGTATCTTGTTTTAATTTGCATTTCTTCAGTGTCTATTGAATTTTCCTTGTTTGTTGTTAGCAAGATATACTTCATCCTTTTCAAGGCTTTTTTTCTGCTTTTTCTTGAGATCTTAATATTCTTTTTATTGGTTCTTTAAAGACTTTCTGTACCAGAGTAACTGGGGTGTAAGGTGTTCTATAAGGTATAAGGAGGCCCATTGAGAAACAAATAGACTTACTTCTCTGTTTCATAGAACGCTGGCTGTGGAATCAGATCACCTTGTATTAAAGTTCGCATTGCAGCTTTCTAGCTTGTGTCCTGAATAAGTTGACATAACTTTCAGTTTTCCTTTATGTGCAAAATGGGGATAACAGTAGTTGTCTCTATGGGGTTGCTGTTGGGAACCAAAGTAAGAATGTATCTGTAAAGTTCTTAGTATAATGCCTGGCTGCACTCTACTAATGGAGACTTTTGTTGCCATTATTTCTCACATAAACTCTCTCACATTTCTGGCACATTTATCCTTCAGTCCTTCTATGACCCCAGTTTTCAGACTATCTCACTCTGTGATTTTACAGATCAGCCAGATGGCCGATGACACTGTGGCAGAACTGGACAGGCATCTGGCGGTGAAGACCAAAGAACTCCTTGGATGAAAGTCCGGCAGGCCCAGCCACACTTCAGAGCCCAGGTTCTGATGATTCCGAGAGGGCACATTGGCCCCATCTGTCACCCCCTCCATTCACATGGAAGGCTGGCACAGTACTTTCTGTCCACAGGAGGCCCAGCCTTCCAGTGGGACACTCAGACTTGTCATTCTCTTCCTCCTTCCCCTGCCTCCCCCATTGTGCTCTGAGCCTTCTAGTAAGGAGTCCCTCAGAGAGCATCTGCTGCTGGCAGAAGATCTTCACTCAGGCATTTGCCTTAGCAGGGATGTCACCAAGGGATTAGGATCACTGGCAACTTAGCACCACTTGCTTGTCACCCCGGGAATTCCCTCTTCAGACAGTCAGTTGGGCCCTGTCCGTGATGTTTTTATTTATTTTTTTTAATTTTATGTATTTAGTACAGGGTCTACAGGGTCTCACTACATAGATCGGACTTGTAGTAATTCTGTGTTTGGTGTCCCAAGTGCTGGGATTACAGGCATACAC